AAGCCCCAAGGGCGGTACTTACAGGGCACTCAGGGAAGGTGACCCTAAGCACATGCAGCCCGAGTACCTGAGAATACTACTCCCAGCTCACATGACCACCGGAAGAGCAGCACTGAAAACAAGTCACAGCACTGAGACAAGACTGGAGCTGGAGCCACACGACCATGCACGATCCCATCAGCCAAGGAACTGGGGTGGGGATCGCCGGCTCAGGGGTCTCGGGCTCCCCCTTCCACCTCCCAGGGAGAGGGGAGCCGCGCAGACATGCGGCGCGGCTCGTGTGACATCATGCTTGTTTGCTCATTTTTCTTTTGGGGAGTTCTGTCCACTCGTTTGTCAATTTTCGTTATTAACCAGAATAGGGGTTTGTTTTGTGGCGCTTACCTTTCTGGGTGCCTGTCCCGGTCGATGGCAGATATAGAATGCTTCAAATCACATGTGCATTTCTATGGGCCATTGCTCCCCATGCCTCTGTGAGGGGGCCAGGTTCTGGCTCGTGGTCCCCGGTAGGCTAGAACTCCACCCACATCAACTGATGCAAAATAGTTAGGGTTATCCATATCAGCCATGGATAGCTCTGGGAAGCCATAAGGGCTCCCCCAGAAAAAAATATTTTTTCTTCTAAACCTGTTAATGTGTGTTCTCTGATCATGGGAAAATAATAAAAAATTCGTAAATGGCATATTTTGCCCGCTATAGGGCAGGGAAGTCTAGCAAAAAATAGGCGCCGACTCATCATGCGTCCCAGACGTTCTGCTCCGCCCCAGCTGTCAGGCAGGAGTGGCCACAAAAAGATAATTACCCAATTTTTTCAAAGTCTCCGATTGATTTTTCTTTGTTTTTTTGTTGTAATATTATTCAATAGTGTGTAGTGTGGCATATTTATATAATAAAATGTGTGAATCATCGCTGTATTCAGAATTATGGTGTGCATATTGTTGATTCAATTATTATGTTCATCAAACAGTGAACAAATACTTTGTCGGTTATTAAACTATATACACAGATTATATATAAGTATCTGCATATTTTGTTCACCATAATGAACCACTAAGTTTATATTATCAGTCAAAAAGCAACAAGGAGTGACCACAACACACCAGTGAGCCACTCCCTGCCATTCACTCCCTCAACACCTCACTTGCCCACATCCTCCTCCCACCATACTGTTTTTGCTTTTATTCACTATATACAGATGTTATATATAAGTATCTGTGTGTTTTGTTCACCACAACTGTACAACTAAGCTGATATAGTTAGTTCAGGCACTAAGAGACGTCGCTACACACACAGTCAGCTGGCGGCAGCCTCCCTCACACATTCAAGGTCAGACGCACTAAAATTTCTCCCCCAACAATACTGTTTGTTGTGGTATTACCCTATATACACACATTATATATAAGTATTTATATGTTTTGTTCCCCATAACTGTTCAACTAAGCCAGTATAGTGCCCAAAGAGCATAGTGGCCACCCCTACCCAGCATGATAAATCATGCAGATGTTGCCACCTCCCTCACCAAAATGGCTTCTTCCCCCACACTCCTTTTGCTGTTATTATACTATATATACACGTTATATATAAGTATCTCCATTTGTGTTCACCATAACGAACCACTAAGTTGGTATGCAGAGTGGCAGTGGCAGGAAGTGGCAGCCTGCCACTGGCTGTCACTCGCTCCCTCTGTCACCTCACCTTACTCGCCATCATTCTCCTCCCACCATACTGTTTTTTATTTTATTCACTACTGTATATACAGACGTTATATATAAGTATCTGCATGTTTTGTTCACCACTGCGAACAACTAAGCTGCTATAGTGAGTCCAGACAGTAAAAGTTAGTCACACAGAGTAAGCAGACAACGCTCCCTCCTTCCCCACCAAGATTACTCCTCCCACTACAGACCTAATTATCACAACAATCCTGCTATTATCAGAATCCTGGTCATTTTGATCAGTCTGGGGTCTTCTGTAATACTATCATTGCTAAATAATATTCTGAACATATATATTATGGCATTTTTAGGCGATGCTGTGGGTCAAGCTGAACAGCAGTGCTGTGAGCTCATGCTGTGTGCACCAACCTGGGTGGCTCACTCACTACTGAGGCCCCTCACACCCGGGAATGTGGCCCACGATTTTTTTTTTTAAATGGTGTCTGTTTACAAGTCGTGATGAAGATGAGGTGAACCCTGTGTATCCGCGGGCCGTTTAAATATTGCATAGTTCTCCATCACGTCATATGATGCGATGCGCAATTTATTGCAAGTTACTCAACCCTGCATATGACATGTTGCACAGTTTAAGGGTTAAAGATTATAATTTCTGCAATCGACCAGGGAAGGCATCCAGAAAGGTAGGCATCTTGTATTAATCTGTTGCATGGATTAACCATTCAACTGTGCCACATAATAATATGACACCCCAGTAGTGTGCTGGAAAAAAATTATTTCCAAAATATTTTTTTCTCTTCTTATATTGTTAAAATGCAGTCCCTGATCATGGGGAAACTAAAATAAAATATTGTATGTGACATATTTTAGCCATGATGAAGCTGAGAAGGTGAGCAATTTATGGGTGCTGGGTGAGTGGGCACCTAGACATGCTTGCCCCTGCCACCTTATGGGACGGCAGTTGCCTCGAATATAATTTTTCATAATTATTTCAACACCTCTCATTCGTTTCTTCTCTGGTTTTTTGCTGTAGTATTATTAAAAAGTGTGTAATTTGTGTTATTTATATAGTTAAATGCATGAAACATTGCTATGCTAAAAAATATGGGATTCATATATGGTGACACGTATATTATAATTCATATACAAGATCAATCAAACCATTTTTTGCTGTTATTACACTATATACACATGTTATATAAAACTATCCACATTTTTGTACACCATAATGAACCATAAACATTGTGTGTTGAGAGTTTATATACACAGAACAAGAATCCAAGGTCAGCCTAGCTCCTGACAGTGAGTGTGGCAGGGGCTGCCCCAAATACATTTTTACATGATTACTTCAGTGTCTGTGAATGCTTTAACATCTAGTTTTTTGCAGTAATATTATTCAGAAGTTTATCATTTGTGGAATTTATATAGTTAAATGTGTGGAATATCACTATGCTAAAAAATATGGGGCTCACACACACACATTTATATTATATATTATAATATATATATATATATATATATATATATATATATATATATATATATATATATATATATATATATATATATATATATATATATATATATATATATATATATATAGACACGTATATTTTATTCTTAGATCAACCAAACGGTGTTCTTGCTGTTATTATGCTATATACATGTTATATATGACTATCAACATTTATATGCACCATAACAAAGTAATAAGCAGTTTTGGTAAGTTTGGTGATGAAATCAAAACTCAGCCTCATGATATGAGCAGACAACGCCAGCAGTTGCGTGATGCAAGACAATGCCTCCATTATTCTACACGTCTTGATATGACCAGCTACAAGACTGCTGTTATTACAACATTCCCGTCACAAAATCCCGAATATAAATTTATTTCCATGAGGTTATATTGTGAAGGAACATGAGTTCATTTCATGATACATTGAAGGTGTAAACAATGGCTGGGTGCTTTGTCTTTCTACCTCATGCTATGAATATCATAACTAGCATTGTATTCACTGATATCTGGACATTTTGCCTACTCTTTATCACAATCAGGATCATCTATGATAATATCAATGCAAAATAATTACAGTTACCTATTTTATTCATCATTATTAAGTGATGCTGTGGTCCCTAGCTGCACACTGGTGCTGTGAGCACCTGCTGCATGTGCCAGCCTTGGTCATTCTCTCAGTACTGAAGCTCTCACAGCTAGTACGGATGCTGACGATTTTTTTTTCAAGATGGCTTCAGTTGACTAAAATCCTGAGGAACTGGATGTGAGCCCTGTGTACCCACACGAGTTTTGAGTCATTCCCTATACCTAAAAGCATCATGTGGCACTCTGTGCACTCCTAATCCAGTGCCTTAAGGTGGTATGCACAGTGCAGTGGTTAATACAAGACACAAAACCACACTATTAAAAGAATTCCCCCTAAAGAAAACAAACAACCAAAACTTTTTCAAACCAGAGTCCCTGCTGGATACCTCCATCGCCCCACCTTGTTGGGGAAAGGAGGGAGCCAGCCTGGGTCCCCTACTCAATACCTCCACCTCCCCACCTTGTTGAGAAAGGAAGGAGCCAGCTCAGGTCCCCCGAGCTGACACCAGTCAATTCTTCACTGATGTTCCTGCCTGGTGGTCATTGGGGCGCACTGACTTCAATTTCCTGTTTTGGTGGTGTTTTGCCTTTTTTAGGCTGTTCCTACATGAGTGTGTGTGTGTTTAGTGCACTGGCTTAGGCAAAATTTATAAATGACAGAAAGATGAGGGCAGTAATCAGAGGCAATGTGTCAGACTGGAGAAATGTTAAGAGTGGAGTACCCCAGGGTTCAGTTCTTGCACCAGTAATTTTCATCGTCTTCATAAACAATCTACTAGACGGAATACAGAATTATATGAACATGTTTGCTGATGATGCTAAACTACTAGGGAAGATAAGAGACCTAGATGATTGTCATACCATTCAAATTGATTTAGATAAAATAAGTGCTTGGAGTGCCATATGGCAAATGGAATGCATTGTGAATAAATGGCATGTTATGGAATGTGGAATCAGAGAAAATAGACCACACACACCTTACAAATTGTGTGGAAAGGAATTGAGGAACTTTAACAAAGAAAGAGATCTAGGGGTGGTTTTGGATAGTAGACTGTCCCCAGAGGAACACACAAAGAACATTGTGCGAGGAGCATATGAATCACTTTCCAACTTCAGAATCGCTTTTAATTACATGGCTGGTGAAAAATTAAAGAAACTATTTGTGACTTTTGTGAGACCTAAATTAGAATATGCAGCAGTTGTATGGTGCCCATATCTCAAGAAGCACATCAATAAACTAGAAAAGATGCAAAGGCATGTTTCAAAATGGCTTCCAGAACCAAAAAACAAGAGCTACGAAGAGAGGCTAGAGGGGTTAAATATACCAAAGCTAGAAGATAGAAGAAAAAGAGGTGATATGATCACCATTTACAAAATAATAACAGCAAACAACCAAATTGATAAAGAGGAATTCCTGAAATCAGCAACTTCAAGAACAAGAGGTCAAAGATTCAAGCTCAAGAAACAAAGGTGCAAAAAAAAATTAGAACATGTTCTTTTGCAAACAGAGTGGTAGATAGTTGGAACAAGTTAAGTGAGAAGGTGGTGGAGGCCAAAACCATCAGTAGTTTCAAAGTGTTACATGACAAAGAGTGCTGGGAAGATGAGACACTACGAGCATAGTTCTCATCTTGTAACTACAATTTGGTAATTACACAAGTGGCATATGCAAGCTTTTAAAATAAGTTGCTTTACAATGACTATTAATATAAATTTTGTCTTTTACCAATAAGCGAGTATAACATCATTCCAATATTTTACTGAAGAAAAATCACAAACTATCATAAACGAGTGCTGGCATCTTCATCTTAAATTGTAAAGCTATTCACAACTGCTTTAGGCTTTATCTTCAGTAAACTCTTAGATATAATGAGTTATCAACTTATTGCTACCAATCATTTTTATCTGTTAATCAATTGTTAATTAAATCAAATCAGTTTTACTTAGTAAAAAAAAAAAAGACATCAAACATGTTACATCGGGCAGTAGACAAGTTTAGGAAAATATCAATCAGAAAGAGTTGACATCACAAATCATACAATATGAATATCAACTCTTACTTATCAACAGCAGAGTGAGTCGGACACTGTACATGGATGTCAATTGTTACCGAGATCCTATAAATTTGTATGTAATCTTCATGCCTATAAATTGCAAGTACTTAAATATTGTATATTGTAAGAAAATGTTATATAACCTTATCCTGTAGTAAACATTATTCACCAAGTTCCGAAACACATATGTAAGAGATTAGAGAGACTCCTGAGTTCTTGTATATGATGACCTAAATGTTTAGTTAGTGACTGTAACAAAAATTTGGTGTCAAGTTGTATGTGTGAGTTGTTAATGAAATTCACTTACCCTTTTTCATCTTAAGCGATAATGTTTGCAGACAATAACTAAACTTTTGAGCCGTAGTCTTAACAAGTAACTATATCTCAGAGGCTGGATCTAAGAATTCCCTTTTCATTTCTCATTATCAACTTTTTTTACTACTGATGAAAATCATATTTATATATTAGTAAAAATTAAAAGTATATTAAGGCCAATATCATAAAAAATTCTTAAGAACCTAAATATTGTACCAGAACCAATGTTTTGAACCATCCAAAACAGTGTTTATTGTGTTCATTCAGTGCATTCCTTATTTTTTGTTCATAACTATTAATGTACTGACAATGCATGATAAGGGATTTCTTGAACACAGCCAGAATATATGTTCTCCACTTCCAAAATTAGAGGCATCACAGAAAACCTTAATCTTAAAAATTAATTACCATCATTCCCTGGACGTTGCAGTGATACCGAATCGAAAACAAATAACGATCGGTTACTAGAATGTGCACCATTTTCTATTACTGTATAAATATGCGCACCAAAACATTTTGTTTTCATCCATTTGAAGATGAGATTTTCCATCCAAATCTCAATGGATGCACAATATTTTAGGCATTATGAATGTTTAGGAATACCTTTTAACTGCATTGTAGGGCATTAAACTTAACATTATATCAAATAGTATCAGTAATGCTTTAGATCACTGTTAATGCAGCAGCATTTAGAAAAGAGAATTCTCTACATTGTAAAGAAACTTCTCAGTTTTCTATTCCTAAAATTTCCTTATCACTTTGACATTCCAAAAATTTTCATGAGCATATCATGGGCTATATAAAATGTTATGAAGTTCAGTATAATAAGGCTGTTTTAAATTCATATTTATTGAACTTGATAATTCTTGAGTTATATTTCAAGAAAATATTTATGGCAGTTACATTTACTTACATTAGTCTGTATCATTTCCTAACAAATATTTTCATATCTCACCCTCATATATCCTGAGTGGCTAATAACATTTTCAGATAAGTTTTGTTTTCACTCAGACATTGATTGGCTTATAAAAGATTCATTCGTTGCAGATTCTAGTGGACTTAGGATGCCAAGCAATAAATGCTGGATTCCAACCTGAGAGGGCTCTACATCCTCATGGGGTTTCAGACATCTGACTCAGTCTTCAAGGCATCTGCCATGCTTACTCGACTAGTGCCAGGACTTGCTTCCCGGGAGCGCTCCTGCAAAAAAAAAAAAAAAAAAAAGACAAAAGTTTCTAATAGGTTATGTTATTGATTTCACTATTATTTTAAAATAAGAAAACATGAAGGGAAATTTCTTTTATATATAAGGTAGATTCCAAAATATTGATAATTATTATAGTATACAGTGCAGTGCCAAAAATCCAAAATGGTTGGGACCAAATGAAATTCTGATTTTCGACTTACAGATTTTAGATACCTGTTACCAACATGCTAACCTGTAATATTATGAAACTTTACAGTGCAATTTTACTTACTTAATATTTTTTATGCTATTAATATGATTTAAGAGTAACAGTACTGTAATTAAGAAGGTGGAGAGTGGAGTCCCGAGTAAGTGTTGTGTGCGCTGAATATTTACATTTATTTATTTATTTATTTATTTATTTATATATATACAAGAAGGTACATTGGAGGTTAACAGAGAACATAGAATTTAAGTTGAATTTACATTCTCGTAAAGCCACTAGCACGCATAACGTTTCGGGCAAGTCCTTTAAACTAACAAATAATTTTTAGATAATTAACAGTAAAATTGACAAATGTTTACAGGTATTTTACAGCTTTACTTTACTGGTACAGATGATTTTAAGTAGAAAAATTACAGTAAATTGAAAAAAAAATGTTTACAGGTACATTGCAAGAAATTTTGACACAAAAGCAGATTAGAATAATACACAATAACAACACTACACAATAATGAACAAGGATTACTAGGTATATATTAGGAAAACATCTCAGGGTTATACATTGGTTCACTGAAGCACAATATGAGGATCATTACAAGGAATAATGCAGTAGAATATGCACTCAGTACAAGGACATGATATAAGATGATCTAAGGTTACAATGGTAAAGTAATAAGACTTAGGTACAAATATTGGAGGAATGGGTAGCACTAAAAACAGTGCAAAGATAAAGCTCTAGGTACAAGGCTATGAAGATGAAATTAGGTACTTTTTTATTTTATTTTTGAATAAGGCAAAATTGGACAGCTTTTCAATTCATTAGGGAGTGAGTTCCATAGACTAGGTCTCTCTATTTGCAAAGCGTGTTTACACAGATTCAGTTTGACTCTGGGGATATCGAAGATATATTTATGTCTGGTGTGGTGATTATGTGTTCTATTACATCTGTCAAGGAAGAGTTTGCTAATATGCTACTAATATGCATATTATTATTATGCTTATAATACTAATATGTTTGCTAATATGGCATTAGCAAGAGTACTGTTTTTTATCTTCTTATCTTCTTAAGGTTAAACCTATCATTTTTACTATTTCTCTCGAAGTAAAAGCGATAAGGCAGTAGAAAATAGAAAGGTATTTAGGAAAGCAAAAGTGGAGTGTTGATAATGCAGTGTGGCTGTGGTACAAACAGAAGCATGAAGTGACGAAGAAGCCAGTGGCAGGCTGGCTGCTCATAGAAAAGGCATGTGAGTTTCACCAAGTAATGAAAATTCCTGAGAAGTGTGTATACAGTGATGGATGGCTCAGAAGCTTTAATATCCACTATGGCATTAGGTTCATTAGGGTACATGGTAAAAGACAGTCTGCTGACGCTACTAGTGCTGACATAAATATGCGTCAATGATGCTGACTGGTACTGGAAAATTTAAGTAAATTTGTGGAGATTGTGCAGAAACAAAATTGATCTCAAGAACAAATTTATAATGCTGACGAGACAGGTTTGTGCTGGCGTATGTTACCCACATACACTATGGCTCATAGTGGTGAAGATGATTTTTCAGGATCATCTTCAGAAGCTGAACAAAAACTGAACAGAGAATTTTTTAGTTGTGTTGTGCACATGCAGCTAGCACACACAAATTGAAATTACAGGTATTTGTGATTGGAATTAGTAAGTAAGTAATTATCAAAAGAAGGCACCAAACCGGGAAGGCTATGTAGCACCATCAAATGCGCAGATTAACCAGAGGGCGCTAAATATCCCCAAGGATGCCAATACGAGAACAAAAACGCATAAGGCGAACGATATCAAAAGTATCTGAGTCGCCAAGAATTCTATTGAGGGACAGGTGACCGCGAGGGGCGGTCAGAAAGCAAGACATACGCTCGTCCTGGAAATCAGGACATTCAAGAAGGACATGCACGACCGTAAGAGGGACAATGCAACTAGGACAATAAGGAGCTGGGCGGCGCTCCATCAAGTGACCATGGGTTAAGCGAGTATGGCCAATACGCAACCTCGCCAGAGCTGTTTCTCATCGCCGGTTACGGTGGTAGGAGGATGGCCACGAGGAAACAACATTTAAGAGTACTGTACGTAGTTTGTTACCAGTAACAGACGACCAAGAAGCCTGCCAACGGGTAAGGACGGAGGAATGGATAACCGGGTAAAAGTCGGAATATGGAATACCTTTACGAGAGACGGGACAAGAGCGAACAGCTTCCTTGGCGGCAGCATCCGCACACTCATTTAAAGACACACCAATATGGCTGGGAACCCAACAAAACTCAACCGACTTAAATTTACTGTGAACAAGAAACAGCCAATGCTGGATCTCGACAACTACTGGATGAACCAGATTAAAGGACCCGAGAGCCATGAGGGCACTACGAGAGTCAACAACAACTACACAGGAAGACTGACAACGAGAAAGCAGGAGACGAAGAGCATAGAGAACAGCATAAAGCTCTGCTGTAAAGATGCTAGTCTCCGGAGGTAAGCGACACATATAAGTGCGATCAGGAAAAACAACAGAGTAGCCAACACTGTCCGCAGACTTAGACCCATCGGTGAAGACAGAAATGGAGTGAGAAGAAAAGTGCTCAAGGAAAAAGCGTTTTAGAACTGTAGGAGGGGTAAAAGCTTTAGTGATACGGGTCAAGGAAGTACAAAACCGCGGAAGAGGGACTCTCCACGGGGGCAAAGAAGGAACAACACGAGGAGAAACATTAGAAATATGAACGGAAAGAGAATCCTGTAGGCGAGATAACTGGACAGAAAGAGGGAGGTGGTGAAGAGGAACAGGAACCGCAGGAGGGGTAAAAGTTAAAGCACAACAGAGGCGAGAGGAAGGATGTTGTAAGGACCGCGCAAGATGGTGAAGACAGTAGCGATCACGGCGGTCTTGGTGAGACAGGAAGCATTGTTTGTCGAACCGGGTGAGTAAATCCGGCCTGAAAAGTGTAATTACCTAAGTGTAGTTACAGGATGAGAGCTACGCTCGTGGTGTCCCATCTTCCCAGCACTCTTTGTCATATAACGCTTTGAAACTACTGACGGTCTTGGCCTCCACCACCTTCTCACTGAACTTGTTCCAACCGTCTACCACTCTATTTGCGAAGGTGAATTTCCTTATATGTCTTCGGCATCTGTGTTTAGCTAGTTTAAATCTATGACCTCTTGTTCTTGAAGTGCCAGGTCTCAGGAAATCTTCCCTGTCGATTTTATCAATTCCTGTTACTATTTTGTATGTAGTGATCATATCACCTCTTTTTCTTCTGTCTTCTAATTTTCGCATGTTTAATGCTTCTAACCTCTCCTCGTAGCTCTTACCCTTCAGTTCTGGGAGCCACTTAGTAGCATGTCTTTGCACCTTTTCCAGTTTGTTGATGTGCTTCTTAAGATATGGGCACCACACAACAGCTGCATATTCTAGCTTTGGCCTAACAAAAGTCATGAACAATTTCTTTAGTATATCGCCATCCATGTATTTAAATGCAATTCTGAAGTTAGAAAGCATAGCATAGGCTCCTTGCACAATATTCTTTATGTGGTCCTCAGGTGATAGTTTTCTATCTAGAACCACCCCTAGATCTCTTTCTTTATCAGAATTCTTTAAAGATTTCTCACATAATATAAAGGTTGTGTGGGGTCTATGTTCTCCTATTCCACATTCCATAATATGACATTTATTAACATTAAATTCCATTTGCCAAGTGGTGCTCCATCTACTTATTTTGTCCAGGTCTTCTTGAAGGGCATGACAATCATCTAAATTTCTTATCCTTCCTATTATCTTAGCATCATCAGCAAACATGTTCATATAATTCTGTATACCAACTGGTAGATCATTTATGTACACAATAAACATCACTGTGCAAGAACTGAACCCTGTAGTACTCCACTTGTGACATTCCTCCATTCCGATACATTGCCTCTAATTACTGCCCTCATTTTTCTATCAGTCAGAAAATTTTTCATCCATGATAGAAGCTTACCTGTCACCCCTCCAATATTTTCCAGTTTCCAGAACAACCTCTTATGTGGAACTCTGTCGAAAGCCTTTTTTAGGTCCAGATAGATGCAGTCAACCCAACCATCTCTTTCCTGTAATATCTCTGTGGCTCGATCATAGAAACTGAGTAAATTCGATACACAGGATCTTCCAGATCGAAAACCATACTGTCTGTCTGATATTATATCATTTCTCTCTAGGTGTTCTACCCATTTAGTTTTGATTAGTTTTTCCAATACTTTCACTACTACACTTGTCAATGATTCAGGTCTATAATTGAGGGGGTCTTCCCTGCTGCCACTTTGGTAGATTGGAACTATGTTAGCCTGTTTCCACATGTCTGCTACGATTCCTGTACACAGGGATGCCTGAAAGATCAGGTGAAGTGGAATGCTGAGCTCAGATGCACATTCTCTCAGAACCCATGGTGAAACGCCATCTGGGCCAGCTGCTTTGTTCTTACCGAGCTCCTTGAGCATATTTTCCACTTCGTCTCTAGACACCTCTATGTGCTCTATGTTGTTCTCTGGAATTCTTATTGTATCTGGTTCCCTAAAGATTTCATTTTGTACAAACACACTTTGGAACTTTTCGTTTAGTGTTTCACACATTTCCTTTTCATCTTCCGTGAATCTATTTCCCATTTTCAACCTCTGAATATTATCCTTTACCTGCAATTTGTTGTTTATGAATTTATAGAATAGACCTGGTTCTGTTTTACATTTGTCTGCAATCCCTTCTTCAAAATTTCTTTCTGCCTCTCTCCTCACTGCCG